TTGATTATAGCTTTTCGAAGCCAAAAGTTCCTGCCGTGTTGCCGTTGGCCAATTCTCTCTCTGAAAATAATGGGTCCAAGCAAGCCAAGAGAACTTCAGTCTTTTCGAAATTACAAGGGCTTCAGCATTATTTTCCCGAAAAATTTAGCTTCCAATTGAAAGTTTTAGGAAAGTGAGAATTTTATCGCATTTTCGGTTCCGAAAATTTTACGATTCCTTTCTCTACGAAAAATAGCTTAACCTGGGGAGTGAAATGGAAAAAATTAAACTTCAGAAAATCGTAAAGAATTTATTAGATAAGCTTCGAAAACTGATTGTACATGCATGGAACGGTCATTTAGAAATGTTTAGACTTCCTCAACCTATAGAAGATTCTAGGCAGTTTCTGTTTCTCCGATTTAATTACCTTCGTTCGTCTCAGCATGGCTTAAAGAAATAATATTAAACTAGTTTATTCACCTTCATTTCTCTGTGCATTACTGCTAACAAAGATTCCGGCGGCATAACTATAATTTTCAGGCGACATAACTTCAGTACCTCGCATGCGGTAGCAGGTCTCTTTGCGATTCCGGTCAACAGCCGACAGCCGGAGGAATTGGTTTACACTGATCTCGCGTTAATTCCAGGCTACAGGCGACCATTAAGTGGTGATTTTCAAATGGCTACGGTTACTATCAAACTCCAAAACAGTCTCAATTGGTATATTTGATTCACTGCGACCAGTTATCGATGCTGATTAAATCCGCTGAAAACCCAAGCCATTTTTATCATCTTAGTAGCTTTAGTAATCAAGCGTGTTCAGCGTGTCTTACCCAAATTGCACGCTAAGCGTGCTATAATTCGCACACTTACCGTGACATATGGCACGCTACAAAAAAACAAAAGGTCTAGCGTGTTAAATTTACCAAATCAAAGGCAAGTGTGTCCGTCTTTGTTTTTTCAATTTAATATGCGCATATTCGTTACGGCACGCTAAGAGTGTCGTGCAAGCGTGTCATGAGCGTGCTTTCACCTTTAGCATCAAATTCCTGTGGAGGGTCACATATTTATAAGTCTCTTGTTAAAAATTCGACAATCTGTCAATCTTTGTTCACGTCTTTTGGTAGTCTGTTCCAACATGTAGCGCCTCTTAAGACGAAAGATCGCTGCCCAGTTTTCAATCTGCTTCTCGGTAGAATCAGGTCTTTTTTGTATCGTGTGTTTCTATTGTGATGAGCTTGTCTACGTGTAAATTTTTAACTAAAAAGATAGCCTGGTGCTCGACCATTCAGGCACTTATGGAACAGGAAGCCATTTAAGTAACTTCAATCCCTCATAAGTGTGATCATACTTCCGGAGACAAAGAACTATCCCGCTCGCAAAGTTTTGAACTAAGAGACCTTTTTACCGATACGGCGGCTATATTGAATAAATTGGATTTAAGGACTATTATGGGATGCCCAGGGGGCTTCAGTATGATCCGATATACTCGCATCAGTATTTACGCGCGCTTTTCGGGCCAATTTTTCTTTAAGTTTTCCTAGAAAAAGATTGTAATGGGAAAAAAGGTCGTTGTGCCTTGTTTGGATGTAATAATGATCTCCTTTTTCCCGAGAAATATAAATTGAAGTTCTCTTTTTGCCCGAAAAGCGCGCGTAAATAGTGAGCGAGTGCCCCTTGAGCATCCCATAATACTCCTTACAGGTAAAGGTAGCGTCTTTCAACCAAGAAGGTACTTGATTCTGTTGATCCTAATTAATCTATGCATGCAATCTGATATTATTTTGGTCACATGTTCATTAATACTCCCAAACCCTTGGCCACAGATACAGGTTTAATTTCTTGGGTTTTTGCCTTTAAAGCCGCAGATAAGGCGACCGAGGTGTAATACTCGTTGAAAGTCTGTTGAAGTTGTTCGTTTGAGAAAAAGGATCTTCTGTTGTGCTCAGTGGTGAATCTTTACAAGGTAGGCAACTATTTAAGACATTAAAAGAAATCAGAAGCATTTTATCTTGCATCGTGCAAACAAAACCTTTCTTTTTATATTTATGTTCCGATCAGCAAAGGTTTTAACTACTGAGGATTGATAAGTTGGATTCCTCCTTCAAACAAGTAACTTAAAATTTCAGGCCTAAAATCTGTTTTCTTTTTCTATTTTTGAGATAATAAATCTATAATGACTGTAATGAGCTCTTTTGTATTGTTCTTTGGCTAACCTCACCCGAGATGTAGTGGTAGTAGTAGCAGCTTTCATTGGGTTGGTTAGAGGTTAGTTAGTCCTTTAGTGACAAGCTAAGAAAAAGTTGTAAAGAAATCAAAAAGAGTAGTTACCAAAAAGTGTTTACAATGTAAAGTCTTGATCCTAGATGGCCATCTCTGAAGTTCTTTATAATCTATCCACCTGTTCCTTACCTGCGAATACGGTATTTTTTGCTAATTTGTTTTCTGGGAGTTAATTGTATAATTGTGATTTATGTTTTGTTCTTTTCTTTTTATATATACATTACATAGTAGGACTTAATTACAGCACAGAAAGGAAAGAAGAAAATTGTTTCATATCAATGAAGAATATATTACATATGACAAAGGTATACTGGATTGAAGAACAAATACACGAATTAAGTTAACAAAAGTCAAGTTCCATTTACTTATTCCAAACCGGATTTTCCAGAAATTTTTTGTAGATCGTCAAAAACCCTTGTTTTGTTATAAACCTTCCTTCTTTCCAGTTTCACATCGTGTTATTTCCATGCAAACAAGCCCCTGAACATGATCATTGGGTGTTACATTTGAAGCGCTCTTATTTTGGTATACGGCTTATAAAACGAGGAATTTTATATTTGAAGCGTACCTGTTTTGATTTATGGTTTATAAAACGAGGAATATTACTATTGGAGCGTGCTTGTTTCCCTTTATGGCTTTTATATCTTATATTTACGATCCGTATCAATCAAGTATACAAATCGTACGGATCGTACGAACCGTAACATACTGTGCCCTTATGTAATAATGAGATGCACACTTGGCATGTGCTCAGAATACGGACTGTTAACAATGCTGACGGTTTGTACAGAGCGTACGATCCGTTAACTGCTGGCTCCGCAACAGTGCGGCAGTATTGGACATTGGACTGTATGGTTTGAAAGCTAAGATATATACATTTACAAAGAGGTGCCGGATCTTACTCTTCTAGTCAACCGCGAAGCGAAAAAATTTCGTCTAACCAAAACGAAATTTTTGTCTCACCGGCACGAGATTTCGTCTTACATCACGAACTTTCGCTTCGATTCTTCACCTAGGTTGCGAAATATTCGCCGACACTTTAGAACAATAAATGCGCCAAAATTTCGCCCCTTTTTTGTCTGAAGCGAAGGTTTGCATTTTTTTGGTCAAAATTTGCGAATTTCGCAGTTATTGCAGAAGTTCGGCTTACACCTCGTATTTGCACAGCACCTAGCCTGCGTATTCTGCGTAGCAGGCGCTTGGAAGTAGTGGGCAAAAGAAAGAACGTGCGCGCGAGAAGGAGACACGCGAGGGGAGAGGGAACGCCTGCGCGAAAGGCCCCCGAAAATCGTTTCCCGCCCCCTCTTCAATTACCTGGCAGCCGTTGCGTGATCTGTCAAACGTTTTGACAGAAAACGACTGACCTCGCACAAACAAAGCGTGCCGCCAAAAAGCGTTGTACATTTTATCTTCGGTCTAAATATATCTGTTATAAAGATCAGCTGGGTTCTCTGATTATAGAGCGATGTAGCAATAAACTGATGGTTAACAGACAGCTTCAAATCGTTTTCAACCACAGGCACAATAAATAGGAAATATAAGCAAAGTCAAGTGTTTCATTTCATCAATCATATGCATGTCCAAGTTTTGATGGTATGCATTCCATCGACAACACAAGCCGCCAAGTTCTCCTGAGCAAAGAATATTTCCTCTGATCTTCACTGCAACGATTCGACAAATCTTTTGTCTCTCGCCTCTTCTGCTAATGCGTATCTGATATCAATTCTTTCCATCGTGAATACCGTTGGAACACTCCAACTTTTCTTTGACATTACAGTCACATTAAACCAGATTGAAGTGACCTCCGAGACCTGAACTTCGATTGTATCACGGCAATTTAGTGTTTTCAGGTGTAATGTAAGATTTTCACTACGTTGTCCATGTACCTATTGATTGACAGTTTTCTCGCCCCGCGCGGTTAATTTTTCCCTCGGGAGCCTCTCGACCAATTGGAAATATCCGCACTCACTTAGTGCGGGTTGAAACGATTTTCGGGGGCCTTCCGTGCAGGCGCTCAATCACCCCTTGCGTGTCTCTCTCGCGCGCGTACGTTCTCTCTTTCGCCCACTACTTCCAAGCGCCTGCTACGCCGGCTACACAGCACTGTACTCTCTAAGCGCTGTTTTACTGCTTGTTCAGGGAATGCTGCGATAAGAAAAAAATACAGACATGTAGACATTGGCAATGATGAGGTTTCATCAAATTATTTCCTTGAATACTGCATGGTGTTAAAGTCTTCTTGTCGAAGTCTACGTTTGCAAAGATAGAAAGCTCGATTACTTATTTCTAGTTGTTGGCCAAATATTGAAAAAACAAGGTTCTCCCTACACATCTGGCTTTGACCACGCTCTGAAATCATAAGTTTTTTGTTTACACAGTTTTGCTAAGTTTATATTTTGAGAGGGTTCCGACCCTTACTTAAAACTGGTAAAGATAACACGTCTGTATATAAAATAGAGAGGAAAGCTAAAACCTTAAAAACAAAGCTAAACTACACGCACAAAGCGCAGGCTACATTTAAATATTAAAGAAGCAAAGCGAAATTACCAGCAATGAAAACATTCTTTCATCCTCATAATAATATAAAGCAATCGAAAAAAAGTCATTCTCACTGACAGACCGTAGCCTTGCTCATTTGTTCACCAAGTGTTCTCTCTTGATGAAGTTACTGTAACTGAAATGTTTCCGGTTCTTGATTAATCTCAACAGTTAATAGAGGCAGAAGTGACCTAGTTACGATGTCGTCTCGATGTATCGTTTTCACCATCGTTATCCTCGCTCTATGTTGCCGTTATGTCTGTTCTATTGACGCTGAGCATCGTGCAGCCCATGACAGAGTTCTTGAATGCATATCCAAGGGTGCTAATACTGATAAAATGGGATGCAAGCTGCCATTCGAGACCGTCATCTGTGACGCCTTCAAGGTTTGAATCCTCTTTTTACCTAGTTTGTTGTGATCTGCATTTTTTTCTCTCTTTTTTTTTCAAACATTTAGAACACGTCTGCTGTCATCAACTACTAAAAATTATCACAACGGTTAAGTCAGTAAAACTAGAACAAGGTCCGGAACACCCCGAACACTCCCCAAAACACTTCCGAACTCCCTTGGAACTTGATGAAATACCCCGAAAGTCAGAAGTCAGAATGCAATATAAGCTAAATAAAAATCTGAAACAACAAAGAGACTAAAAATCATTATTAGTAATAAAATACACGAGAGGAAAAAAAGGAGATTGACAATGGCAAGAGGTTAGGTATATCAACAATGCCTGCTGCCAAATGTTCACTAACACCCCTGACTATTAAATAAGGTTAATCCAGTATATCATAATCAGATCCTTAATTTGAGCAGAGGCTGGGATTATCACGATGTTTATTGAAAAACGTAGTTTTTCCTTTCTTGAGCGTTATGCCAAAATCATGTTTGTACATTCTCAAAGAGAATTACTTGAATTATTAGAGTAATTGAAGCGGGCCAGTGGAATCGTCCCAGACCGCAGTGATACGGGCTCAATGTTTGTATTTTGTCTAATACAGTCGAGAATCCATGTGCAGCCACCTCCCTTAAGCGACCTCCAATCCAAAACACTAACACTTTTCAAGCAAAAGCGTTACAGTTGGAAACTCTCGAAAACGACCTCCTCCTGTAAGCGACCGCGTTCACTATTTAGGTGCTGACAGGTTAATGATTTTCATTGTTTTTAACCTATTGTAAACGACCACTTGAGGATTTGTCTGATAATCCTATCTTGTTGTATTACGTTCGCTGTTTGTATGCGCTACTTATGCGAAGAACTTAAGTAACATGAAACTTCACATATCCTGAGGTGGCTCCTTAGAGTAAATTAGCCGTGCGCAGCCTGAGCACTAGTATGGCGCGAGCTTTAAAATCTGTGCGACGTCCACGCAAAAATAAACAAACATGGCCTCTCAGTTTCGGAATACTCCCCAAGAAAACTTTATTAACTTTCTGTTGAAGGTCATTGTGAAAAAAATTTGGTTAGTGTAGGTCAAACATTTATGAGAGGAAACAATGTTACGCCGGTTACAAGTCACTATCAACCTCCATAAGAGTAAATTGTATGTGTCAACGAAGCAGAAATTTTCCAAAGACATCAATTTTTTCGCTTCAAAAGTAGACAAACGTAAAATAGTCGAAGAAAAAAGTGAATGGAAACTTTACAAAGAAAACGAAGAAAAAAGTACATAACCCCTGAAGGAGGCAATGTTGACTGTTTCTAGCCTTTGGTTCACGGCAAGAGAGAATGATCTAGCTCATTCTCTCTTGTTCACGGTGAATGGAAAGATCTGAAAGATCGAGCCAAGTCCCGATCAAACACAGAAGATTGTCTTCCCCAGTGGAGCTCCTGGCTCACTTTTTTTTTCTTACTTTTGATTTGTTTAAGAAATTCTATAAATGAATTTAAGGCAAGATTACAGGCAGCGTAATTTTTTTCTTTTGCTGACTCTATCACATAGTTTAAAAAACGTATCAGAAAAAAGGTTTCCTACTTGCATCCTGATAGAAGGAACCTTTCCATCGACGAACCAACATCCTTCCACTTTTTCTTGTTTCAAAAGTCCTTTAACGCACAAGATGTACTAGAAAATGTTTTTGCGCAACGAAAAATAATCTTTGAGTCATAGATTGACCCTTGACGAAAACAATAGTCGTCCGCCAAGAACTACAGTCTTGTACGTGCAGCTGAGGACGTGATGTACGTTTTTTAGATCGCCGCCATCTTTAACAGCAGACTTTTAAAGAAAAACGTCTCCGTCGAAATTATCCCTCTTGAATAACGAGGCTGAAAAAGTATCCGGAAGTGGGCTGGCATTTGAAGATCTGCGAGCACTTTACAGCAGATAGGAAAAGAAGGGCTTCAGTTACGACAAGAGAGAATGGTCTAAGAGAGCGAATCCCCCAAACATGACCCTCTTCCCATGAAAATTATTTTCAATCTGTTCTTGGTTCTGTGTCATACTGGGTGGTTATTTTAAGGACAGCACCATATTGGTCGGTTAGAGTGGTGTCATGTAATTTTAAACTTGGCGGGTAATTCATTACACTGCAGAATACGCACAGCAAGCGATATGACGTGCAAACTTGGTATTACTTTCGCCGACGAATCAAAAGATTTCTACGTGGAAAAATCTGACCAGAGTAGCTGCCGAAGAGCAAAACGGTCCTGGCTTGTGGAAGTTCGCCGGAGAAAGCGGTTCCGACTCGAATGAAATTGCTAATTGAGGTCTTCCCTACATCAGTATAAAAACATTGTACAAAAACTACAACTGTCTCTTTTGGCGACATCCACGCACACCCGCGAGCTGTGATACCGTCGTTTGAATCCGACCTTGGACACGTAACAAGAAAATAGGTTCAAAGTGTGTTCAAACATGAATGTTTGGCCGCCAAACATTTGAATTTTGAGAAGGCGCTCGACAGATGTGGGCACACCGCTCACTACAAAGAATTGACAGAAACCGGAAACCGCGCATAAAAAGTCTCTGGCATCCAGGTTAGCGATTGTCTAACAGCTTGAAGCATCTGACCTGATTTGTGTTCGCAGGGCGAAATATTCATCGCAAGTAATAGACGTTAAGAAGAAGTAATGCAGTTTGAAACTCTCAAGAATAATCCTTAAAAGCAAATGTATCGTTTCTGAACGAAATACATTCCTGGAAAAAGAGAAAAAATAACTTGCACATTTGCATAAACAATTGAAGCCAGCCACCTATTAAAGGTTTTGTATTTTGCCCATGATAATCTTTGCCTTTGACTTTCACGGTGTGTCAGAATTCAACATTCGTTACTTTAAATGGCTACCAGCCGTTAGAAAATCTCAATCTTTAATCTCAAAGTGAAATTTTGACTCCAATACTGCAATCCCTTTGTAAATGAAATTCATTCCTAAATTATGAGCGGAACGCGCTGATCAAAAACATGTCAACAACAGGAGCCGATTAGTGTCGGCTCTTGGCGCTAATTACTATAATGGCTGTCAAACTTCAAATGTTTGGCGGCGAAACATGTCACGTTCAAGTGAAAGTAGACCACACGGGTCACGGAAACAACAGACAAAAATAACCTACGCAGCACGCGCGCGAACTTTAAATAGATTTAAAAAATTATCATGGGGCACAGGGATTCGCTGTCTTAGCTCATTCTCTATTGGTTGCGATCCTTGCACCTACAAACACCGTCTTCATCTCCGATGATCGCCATCCGCACGAGCACGCCCTGCGCACGAGTGACCACCACGGCTCGAATTTTGACTACAATGGTCAAGTACTTCGAAGAAAACATCCAGTGTTAGCTATAAAATTGAATCCGCTACCTCTCCATTTTTAACTGATGAGCTATCACCGTAATAATACTGATAAAAGGCTTTAAGAATGGCCTTCGTACTTTTCGAAGAAACCACATGTTTTCAGTAGCTATGTGCATTGTGCGCATGCGGGCACGTGATGGATCGCGCGCGTATTTTGCTCTTACGACCTCGAACCACGAGTGTTTTTCCGATTTTTTGTCACGTCAGCTCATTTAATTAACCGCGAATTTCTCGCGTTTAGTTCCTTCGGAAAATTGTTTTAAAAATCGCCTCATTTCTTAACACTTGCACTACCTTTATACTGTCCTTTTTTGTTAAAATCTGTAAGAACTAAATTCCTCTATTAAGAAAAATTGCAAATTTCAAAATATTGGAAAAATTGTCTTAACGACCCCATTCTTTTCAACTTTAAAATGTTAAGTAATATCGTTCATATAGTGTGGCAAAGTTTACAGACAGGGAAATTAGAAATATTAAGACAAATTGATCAAAAATGGCAAAATTACTGCGTGTTTAAGGATACAACGTTGCCATGGCAACGGTGTTAATCCAGAAAATGAAACTTGATAAAGGAGCCTACTTATATGGGTAACCTTAGAGGTGAATCTAGTGAACAAAATCGCAAAGAAAAAGTAACTAGATTTCCTTCTGTAACGTATGCTGGATAGCTAGGGTTTTTAGTAAATACTCTAGGGAGCCACCTTAAAAATTGCAAACAATAAGTTATCTTCCATAAGGTATAGGTGTCCTGACATCTTCTCAGAAGGAAGCCCCAGCGGTTCTTTTCTCTTCGCATTTTAGGAGCTTCGGCTTCGCTACCGGAGCTTCGACTGTACCCCTCCCCTGTGTATGGCCAGTTCGTTTGCTCTCCGCCAATGATGTTTAGGCTCGCATGATATGCTTCGATTGCAATTATATTTTTTACAATGTTGCTCATTTTTAAATTCTTTATTCATTGACTATAGATGATGAATCAATGCCTTACAAAGCCTTTTGTCTCGACAACAACACACTCTAGTGAGATCCTGGACTATTTTCGAGCTTATCAACTGCAGCGGGTTATTCTCATTAAGAAGTCGAAAATGTGCCAGAAATTGCCTCCATACAAAAAGTTAAAGAATTTGGTCAACAAATCTGGTAAGAAGTGGTAGAGGTGTGAGTCAGTAATCATACATTTCGCGGATAGGTATAAGATTATGGTCTAACTAGCCTTCCCAACAACTAACATTTGGAAGCTTAAGCAACCACGGCAACGAAAAAAACGAAAACGTCCGAAAAAATGATTGATTGTATGAGCAAAACAACAGCACTGCACTTTCTTCAGACTCAAAAAATACATCTCTTTAACGTCCACAGCACGACTTCCACGTGAACGGGACTTTGGAGGACATGAACTCACGACCACGAATCTTTCTTTCTTTCTTTTTTTAAACTTAGATAGAGTTCTTAAGAATACACTTCCAGGAAAATGCGCTTTCATTTGACAAATTTAGCGCGGCCAAATAAACGTGATAGAGTTGAAAAGGACACAAATTTAATATTACAGTTTCACTTTCCTTCGTCTTCGTGGTTACTTACAAGCTCCATGTTTTTTACCTTTTAGTGAGAAGTTAGTGTTAAGAATGTTTTAGGGGATAATCATAGACGTACCGATTCCATGGCGCATACAAATGGCCAGAAAATTATCGTGTTCCTTGGCTTTAAGTCTCACATTTGAAGCTTAAGATACTTTTAATTCATGTCCCTAGCACCGACCAGCGCAAAATAAATTTTAAAATAGAGGCATAACTACAAGCAAAAAGAATCTTGTAGTTGGGGTTGAACTGCATTCCTATGATAAAGTAATTTTAGTGGTGCTATAAAAATTCAAGTGAATCCAACAGAAGTTTCACTATAAAAATAAAAAAATCTTTTGGGTTTCGAAGATGAACGCTCACAAGCAACATTAAAACCACTAATCTGATTTCTCTTTCAGGAGTACTGGAGAAAAGAAAATTACAGAGTGTTGGTAAGTTCGAAGAGAGAAGATAAATAGGTAGCAATCACTAAAGTGGATAAAATTTCAGACAGTTTTTAAGAATAAAGTCAATGTAAGCAAATGCAAAGTAGTTTATCAGCATAGCATCCGTATTTATGGTCTAAAATCTTTGAAAAAAAAGCAAATTCAAAGTTGGCTTGCAATTATGTCTTTCTGGGTTGTAAAGCCACGTATATTTAACTGAGATGTTTATTGATTAAACGGAAATATCAAGGTTTTTTATCCTAAAGCTTAAGTAAAAAGTACGTTTAAAGAAAGTCACCAATTTGTTCCAAATAAGACTTTTCCATAACAAATCGTCAAATTTACCAAATTCAGCACTAAACAGGTTTGTAAACAGAAAAAGAAGCAAGTAAATGGACAGTTATTTTTATCCCGGAGCTCCGCTTTTGGGCTTGGCTACATTTATTTACAGGAGCAAATTCTGGTATATATATACCAGAATTTGCTCCTGTAAAATGATTGGTGGAGTCTCCCAGCACCTTAATTCAAGCACTATTCTTAATAAATCAGTGAATACAAGCTGCTCTGGTCTCAGAAGACAAAAACGTTTCTATTATGCTTTCCAGAGGGAGACCCATATGTGCCATGCGCTGGTGAAATAAGTCGCAAGTGTTATGCAGAAGCTGTGGATCTTTGGATGTACAACTATACTGCCCTTTATATCGAGCATCAGTTTATCGAGTGTTTTGAGAAAGAATTAACGGCTTGTGATTTTCCCATAGCGCGTCACATCGCTGCCACAATGGAGGCTTTCAAGAAGCAAGTGCAGAAAAAACACGGACTCTTCAAATAGTAATAATTAATGACAAGTGTTAAATATGCTAACCACCCTTGCGATTGCCTGAGTAGTAAAACCTGTAGTTAATATACTATGTATATTTGAAATAATAAAACTATTGGAAAACAAAGCCGAACAATATAATCGATGCGAAAACAGAACATGAATTGGGCTGCTTACCTGGTGACTTTTTGGAGCTGTAAAGGAAAATTCACTTATTAGCCGCTAGAGGAACGAGGAGAAGAAAAATCAAGCAAACTGTAATCAGCCACTTTCGAGTTCAAAACTCTCACTTTCAAAACGAGGCTAAGTGCATACGCCTTTCTTGTGGAAATGAGTTTAATTGCATGAGAATAAAACATAATTTTCACATCAATAGGTTTGCACTTGGCCTCACTTTGGGGTGTTTCGATATAGTTTTTCAAAGCCCACACCGATATAATTCAATCGCTATAAAATTTTCACCAATATTTGAACTTGTCAAAAGGTAAGTTTTAGAAAAAACTTTATTACTATGTCAACAATAAACAAAAAACTTTGAAATTGATAAAAGCCTAATTTTGTGCGATCTAGACCAGCTATTGAAAATCCAACACTTAAGGACTTAAAGTTTGGTGTTTAGCAAATAACCTCCGTAAGAAGTAAAAAATTCTGTATGTTTGAATTCGACTAAAAGGAAAATGTATTTCGAACCTTAAATTTTCAATAGCCGTGATAAATTATTTAATAAAATCGTTAAAAATAACTCATATTATTCTTAAGTAGCGTCAGAACGCTGCTTAATATCATATTTCGAAGCTATTAATTAAAAAGAAATTTTGGTGTATTTTCGTTCTTGCGATCTTAAAAACTAACCCGTTTTCTCACCAACTGTCTGAGTGCAACTTCATTCAAAATTTGGACGTTTAGCGGTTTGTTGTATATCTCTGAAACGACAGGAACTAATTTTTTTAAAAATCTCTTCACATAATCTTCATAATGTATATAATAATTTCTAAAACTTTTATTAAGATTGGTTCACTGCAACACCTTGAAATTTCAAGACAAACCTATCCTACGAAACGGTCAAAAATCCTCGCTACAACATTCACTGTTTTGACGTTATGCTAATTTTTCCAAATTAATGCGGACGATACATATATCCATGACTAGCACATTTCAATGTGAATAAAAAATATTCTCAATGTTTTACATTCAAAAGATGCGATAAATTCAGATTTTTTTAAAAAAACTACGTTTTCACAAGTTTCAATCCATAACCAATTGTTGGTGAAAATTTTAGAGCGATCAGACAAGGGAAAAACCACTTTTAAGACGATTGAAAAATATCGGTATGGTCTCTGAAAAACTGTATCGAAACAGCTTAAAAGAGAGGCTTGGGGCAACTCAGAAATGGCCGGCCATTGAATCAAGGGGTCTATATCACGAAACGTTCTATAGTTGGATCGATTAATTAGATCGCTAAAAGATGACAAAAGGGGCGGAACTCACACATCACAAGAGGGCCCGCAGGATGTTTCTCCCTTTTGCTTTTCTTTTCTTCTTGTGTCTGTGCCGCGAATGATTTTTCCTTTACTTCTCCAAAGAACGTGCCCACTAAGTAGTCTTCATCCTGTATAGTCACATGACTTCTAGGATTAATAAAAATGTATGTATGTATGTATGTTCTAATACCACATTAGATAGCAAATAATCCAATCGTTTCGATATATGTTATTATTAAAGAACGTCAAGCGTACACCAAGGGTGAGCCTTGGATTCTGTTACAGCAGATTTTAATCTCTCTTGTTATCGCAAATTAGGGTGTGATTTCATTCCAATAAGCACCATAATGTTCATTCCAATCAGCATCTTATTGTTGCGTCATTCAATCATGGATTTCCCCCTCTCCCCTGACTATAAAGTAAATGGATTTCTTCGCCTGGTAGGAAGTTCCTAACAAGTGAGTAAATTCATACATGAAAGTGAACAATATGGTTACTGACTATTGTGTGCTTTAATTTGCAGATAAGTTTTCCAGATGCAGTCGAGTTTGTTTTTCTCTTGGGATTGTCATAGGGATCTAAGAAAAAAAACTGTTATATTCCTAGACTTTCACTCAACTAAACAGGGACTGCCATTGGTTGATTCTTGGTCACGTGGCCTTGTCTAAAATCAAATGCATCCCGATTGCAATACATTTAACCTGAGATCACGCTCAATTTTAGCGGTTCTCATACATTCTCTCAAACGGCTACCGCAAAAGTTTTCGTTTCTCCTTGCCCGCCGGAATGTAATTTTCAAAGCAAAAAGAAAATAGAGCCCGATCTCAGGTTATCATATATTAAGCAATGTACCCCGCTCGGGATACATTACAGCACGCGATCAAAGCAAGGTGGAAAGTGGCGTGACAGAAGGCGGGAAAAACAGTGCCAGTTTTCTTTTTCGTGAATGAACACAACAACACAAACACGAAGCCTCAAGCTAAAAAGCAACAATTTTTAAAGTTATTCCAGAGGAGAAACACCAGCTAGTGGAGGAAAAAGATGCAAATAATATAAGGAAAGTACTTTGTAAATCTTTTCATCCAGTGGTTTTGAGAATTAAATTTGTGTTGTTATAAGTACCGAGTCGACTGTATTGGTTCACTTTGGTTATTCTTTTGTTGATGTTGAAGTGAAAGTCGAGAAAAATAACAAACACTTAATGTCAGGTCCCTCGGGAAACCAGTAGTTTTGTTTTCCCTCGAGTCCTGATGTTTCCCGAGACGAAGTCGAGGGAAACATCAGGACTCGAGGGAAAACAAAACCAACTGTTTCCCTCGGAATCCGACATCAAATGTATAATATAACCTCCAGTTAGGTCTGTAGTCGTGGTGACGAAATGAGACGTTCAAATTACGTCATAATTTCGGTGCTGTCCTTCTTTATTTCTCACGTCTATTGTTGTTATTCCACAGCATGACCAAGTTACCTTTTTATATCATTGGTGAACAATAAAATAGATAATTTTGCGCAGAATTTACATGAAAAAAGAATTAAGTTCCCGGTGGAGGGAGAAGCTTCTGCTTTTGTCCACCAGTAAGGCCGCCATAACATCAGCTGAAAATCAGGAAAGCGAAAGGAGGGTGATAAAACCTTCTTATATTGTCATTTTGATATTATTTAGGGTCTGTAAGCCTCGTTACGGAGTGGGCTGGAGCTTTGATATCAGTTCACTTTACACATCAGAGGTTCGCCAGAAAACAGTGAGATCCTAATTGAATCAATAGCGGCGTAGCCAAGGCACCCTCTTTGCTGAAGCTGCGTCAGTTTTTTTTTTTCTGAAAATATAATTTTCTAGCGGTCACAATAACGAAAGAACACACGACCTACCATCTGTTTAGCTATTAGTTATGAGTCACACGTGTTTACTTCTTTTTAACCCGAACTTGCTCACTTCGAAATATAAAAATGTTGCGTTTGTCATAGTCTCAAGGTTTAGTACTTCGCCTCGAATTGTTAAACTTGATTATACACGACTGAGTTTTTTGAAGGGCTTTAAAATCTCTGATATAAATAAACTCATTCTTGCACTAATATTTAGATTTGGGGTTAATTTGGTCTTAAAAGTTTAGCCGTGTCTTTATCAGATATAAAGACACCCATAATAAATAAACATATGTTTCTTCCTTTTTTTCTTTATAAAATATTAATGAGTTTTTCAATTCTACTTACCTCTTCCCACTGTGCCCATTACATCTAACTTCCAAAAAGAAATTAGTTTGCTGTGGCAAATGCAAACTACGATTGCGTCAAAGCAAAAGAAGATATAAAAGGAACTTTTAGGCAATTTTTTATAATTACTTGCTAAGAGCAGACATATGACGCATAGTTCGTTTGGACAGCTGACTATTTGTTTAATTCAGTTTTGGCCAAACAATTATGAGATTTCTTACATTCGGCATCTACTTTTATCGTCAAATACATCAAAGAAAGCTCATGATTTAAGGGCTTGAGTTGCATCAAACCTGTCAGGAATGCCAAGCGTAACGACAGGCTTATCAATGTTCTTATTTATTACATTGATGATGATTTTAGCGCAAACTATACCACGCATGCTCAGTGTAAACTATTTCCTTTACTTTTTTTGTCTCTAAATCGAAGTGTTGATAAGCGCGAAAAATAGCTGTATTGATGAAGAAATAAAATAAATTATAGAAACCAAATCAGGATAGAGAAACAAAAGGTGACATAAAACGTGACTTGGAGAACAGGTTTCTATTTATATTCTATTATAAATATTTATTTTCAGAGGTAAAAACTTTGCGCCCACGTAAAGCTACAGGGTGTAATTGTTTTATTCTCCGTCAGTGAAAAAAAATTTCATTCGTCAAGGTGAGTCTGACTTTACACTTCCTCTAAAGAGAGAGACGTTGATGCCGAGTAATTTCTCGCGATAACTGGCAATACGCGAACGCGTCGTCAGATATTTGTTAGATCAGAGAATGATGACAGAATTTGTTATTTGAAAGGTAAGGGAATTATCTGCCTAATATTTCACTTGTTGCAATGTCAAGACCATCAAATGACAAATAACACAATATCTACTACCTTCCCAGTTAATGTTTCGGTTTGCTGACCTTCAGGTACTGAGTTACTGTCACTGAAATCAGGCAATTTGATCAACGAAACAGATAAACCAAACATTTGTAGGTATCTATCTCTACAACTCCCTGATACTCATAAAAAAGGATCAGAAAGGCAGATAGCTCGCTCTAAACTAGCTTGATTCTGATCGTTAATGCTAGCATATCACACTACTTATCTCACAACATAATAAGCACGTCTGAAATGCATTTATTTTTTGCCGGGCCAACTGTATGATTTTGAAAACTAAAATCAACTTTTAACAACTACAAAGCTATTGAGGAGCCAAGTTTCTCAATATATATCTCAAATTCAATAACAAAAACATAAAATCGCATATGGAGTCTACTATAACAACAACACCTACTGTGACCACGAATAAACAGCACACCACCCAAATGGCACTTCAGTGCCATTTTGTTTTCCCCTGTCAATATTATCCTTATTAGTCTATTAGCTTGTCGCCATTTTTTTTTTCACACCTATGGGATTGATTTTGTCCACTTTTTGATAGCAATTTTTCAAGAAAATCTCTATTTTTATCCCATTCGGTCTTTTGTTTGTTTTCTGTTTATTTTATTGAATAGTCATTGTAAAGCGCCTTTAGACAAATCCCCTAGTGTATTTTTGTAAACACGATAACCTTTCGTGCTGTTAAACTGTGCCACAAAACGAGCGTTGACTAGAAGTGGGGTTTGTATTATTGCTCTTTTTTGATTAACTAATTTTTGGCAATAAATTAAAATCCCACTTTTGAAAGCCTCCCCACTGAGAACATGTAGGCTTAAAAATAAGAATTGAGCATTGAAGTTCAATTAGGTTCTTATCTTTAAGAATACAACGATGAATATAAATTAACTGTTCTAACCAAATCTAAAATATATGTAAATTATGGGATCCAGAGGAAGTTGTTGAATAATTCTTTTAAGAATACTACGTCCTCTTGATTGATATAATAAGAGGTGTCTTATCACCCAATTTGACCAGCATGAAGCTGCTAAACCCCGCCCCCTCCCCATTTTACGCCCCCTCCTTTTATTTATTTATTATTATTATTATTATTTTAATATATATTTTTTCTTTTATCAGGGTATAAAATGAAATCCGTGGAATACATTTGTCTCAACGTGGCATTTTTTATCATGGTTTTAATGGACCTTGCTGGCAACACCCTGGTGATTCTAGTGATTCGTTTAAACAAGTCCATGAGAACGCCTATGAACATGCTTTTGCTTAACTTGGCTGTTGCTGATATGGTAGTAGCAGTGTTTGTCGCAATACAGTTCGTCATTGGGCCAACATTCGAACACCCGTCTGGGACAACAGGATTGTGGCTTTGCAAGTTTATAACTGGAGGAACAATGACATGGTCAGCGGCTGCAGTATCCGTGGGTAACCTGGTTGCAATTTCCATTGAAAGGTGAATTGTTTATGTTTCCATCTAAATATAAGTTACCAAAACACGCAGGTAACGCAGCCTTCTCGTGAGCAGTTTTAAAGTTATAAAGGGCAGCTTCCGAATATTCCTCAGTCCCGGGAAGCCAAAATATCATGTTCAAAAAAGGGTTAAATCTAAAGAAAAGGAGCTTCTTAGGAAAAGCACCATTCATTCAACAGTCCCAATTTTTCACTCCAAAGGTGGGACCAGAAAATTTTTGCCAGGTAAAATATTTAAATCATTGTGCAGTTGTTCTATTGTCTCTTATCGGCGGCTTTATTATTGTACATAGTTTTATTGCGTAATTTAGGCTTTATATTGTAAATAGCTTTGCGGTTTCCCTTTTACTTATCTTTAATTTTATTTGTGTATTTATTTATTTATTTTTATCACGGCTCATTTGCATATTATTTTTATTTTAGAGATCTAACCAACCTCATCAATTCCGCGGTTATATTAAGTGTGATATATTCATTTTATTTATGTTACAAGGTGTTTGCTTTGGCAGATTAAATAGAAAATATGAACTTGACATAATTTGTTCGAACTTCATATCGTATCGATGACAGTAACAACCCGCGACTCAGGACGGGCAGTTAGGTATCCTCTGTTTAAGAACCTGTTTAGTCTACAATTCTCTACACTTAAGCAAATAAGAGTCAACGCTAACGCTATTGTTAAGGTGTGCAGGATTTCCCTAAGGGATGAGCTGAATACCACTAAATACTTTTAGCTTCAATGTAGTTATTTTCTTCAGAAAACGAGAACTTAAATGGCCTAAATTTGTGTTAATTACCACGCACATAAGAACCTGTTTAGGCTAACTTTGGAAAATACAGGTTCTAAGTCGCGGGTTTTTACTGTATGCCCTTATTTTCCTTTTTCTTTTTGCTCTTTTGTTAAAGATATCACGCAGTGGTACAGCCGCTGGCTAGTCGTTCAACACTCACGAAAACCAAGTTGAAGCTCATTATCTTTGGTTGCTGGTTATTCGGTTTCGTTTGGAATGTTCCTCTTTTTGCTGTCATGACTTACAGAGCGGATCTAGAGACATGCGGCGAGCAGTGGCCTGGTCAGATCTTTCCAATAGTTTACAGTTTTGGGTGGAGTGTAGTGGCAGGAATCGTACCCATCAGTTTAATGAGCTATCTGTACTCAAGAGTGGTTTACAAGCTGTGGTTTGAGGTGACCCCAGCTGTACCGTCCACATCAGCGGTGAGTTTTATTAATAACAACCTGCTCTGGCCTGGCCTCAGCTTGGCTGGCGCGTAATTCGTTAGAGCGCGATGAAACTACCACCAGCTAAAAAGGCTATCTCTGCACATAGTTATTAAAGTGGAATGGTTATGAAACTCGTTTGGCGCTTTTGTTATATGTTTTTGGTTGGCTTTTTTGGACCTGACCGTGCACAATGTTCTATATATAGCATTCCTATCATTTTGAATTTACTGACTAGTAGAAACATCGCATTAATTTATTCACTCACAATTTGAGAACAAAAGACAAAGGATTTTCCACAGTCAGGGAGCTTCCAACATGAATTACAGCACCGTTGTTTTCAACATGGATGTTTGCCGGCTTTCCTAGCCAGTCCCTCTACTATGCTCTGCCTAAAGATATCTGAAAGACATGTCTTCACTTACAACAAGACAACCGACCCGTAGCACTTAGTCTGACCTCAGTAAGTTATTAACCAACATTTAGACAGTGCGGCAGTTCATAAAATTCCTTGGGAATGCGGCAAGGCATAAATGTACAAAACGGGAAGATTATCCTCTAAAAGGGGAAATATGACTTTCTCGAAACCAGACCTCGGCCTTTTCTGAACATGCAAATCAGATCGGGCGCTTCCACTTTAAGGAGGTGATCAACATTGTTACTCTCGTAAAGTTAAAGAGCCATCATCCTAAGACTTTTCTTAAAATAACAATGTAAACAAGGAACAAAGTATAACACCATCAGTAAACAATGGGCAACCGATCGAAGAGCAGACTTGACTTAAAGTTTTCTTGCGTATTCTCAAAAACTAGTGAGACACCCTAGAAAGGCTCATTTTACCTTTTTTCACCAGAAAGGTTAGCACTGCTATCTTTATTGAAGGAAGTTAAGCCCTCTCCCGGTCACAAAATGATAAAACTTCTAACATTTGATAACTTGTTTCCGACACTACGACATTCTCGCTAAAACTCATAGTAGAATGACGACGGCTATCACGTTTTCCCGCCAAAATGACGCTGGGTCATGCGCGAGCACTACTTAGTACTGAGGAAATCTCGTACTCATAGACCTCCTCGTTTGTTTTCAAATGAGGTAACTTCGGACAACAAAAGAATCCACACCCCTCCCCCTCCCCTCCTGTTGTCTTCTACAGGTAGCTCTATCAGCGGCACAACATTGCATGGAAGGGGTAGGGGAAGAAAAAGCTTTATTATATTTGACCTTTTTAAGTTAGCAAAGGTTAGAGAAGCCCTTTAAGGTGGCGTATCCCTACCAAATTTGTGGCCGATTGTAGCATGACATCGGTAAAAAAAAACAACTTACTACTCTAAATCTCTCTTTTCAGAAGAAGGCCTCACTGTCCAAAAAGAAAGCTACTATAGCGGTGATAACAGTCAGTTTAATCTATGCCATTTGTTGGGTGCCAGTTCTTGTGATGTACTGCTTGGCACAATCATTACCAAACATGATGGTACTCAGCCACCAACATAAAGTCACCATACTTCTGGCCATGTTCAACTCCAGCATTAATCCAGTTGTTTATAGTTTTACCAGTGCGCGCTTTAGAAAACACCTTGGAAAACTGCTGAGATGCAAATGCTATTCGAACAACTCGGAGAAGCAGTTGAAACCTTTGGCGCAGAGGTCGCAGCCAACTGCATCTGACGGCATGTGAACAACCAGGGTGGAAAAACAAGTTTCAGGCGCCTGCATGAAACTCCCTTAATCACTGTAAGTGGCTATGAAGTCGCCTGTGATGGGATAGCGTGTACGTTATGGGATACTTACAGTACATAACTTGTTAAAATATCCAGCAGTGTCAAAATACTGTTGAATCAAATATCTTCCTTCTTCAGAAGGATATTTTAAAGCCTTAGTCTTGTAGGTTGGTGGACGGCCGATTTCTAGCCATTCCGATCTAACTGGAACTCGGGGGGTCATGAGTTCAAGTCTCACCTGAAGTTCGGAATTATTTTCGAAGCTTTCTGGTGTTTTGAAAAACTTATGCCCTTGAACCCCTTTATAAGTTATATAAAAATGACATTAATGTTCACTGTGGAAGAAATTAAGAAATAACTAAAAACAAATTTAAATACAGAATATAAATACATGTCTATAGATGTTTCTAGTTTCACCGTTCTTAGCGTATTTAGGATGATTTCCAGGGGCTAGTCAGGATTTTTTCAGAGGTACGCACAATTGTCCAAATCGCACTTATCCCCCCCCCCCTTCCCCCTCTCCAAAAAAAAAACTTTTTCATTTGATTAAAGGTTTGGGCTCATTGCCGTCGCCGTCACCGTCGACATTGTCGTTGCTATGAAGGATTTATTGATGTTTGCGTAAATGGTTGATCGACGTCAATCATTTTTCAGTAGCAAAAACGCCATACCCATATATCTATTCTTTATTTTGTTACAGGTATACGTTATTCGTTTTTCAGGTATGAATAATCCGAATGAAAAGAATAAAAAGTTCATTCTAAAAAGAAAGCAAAATATCTTAAGACAATAATTTTGAGAGCAGAGTTTGCCTCAATTCATCAACCCTGGTTGTTTCTTTGAAATCTACTATTTTTCTAAATAACGGACTTTTTTTCCCTCTCCTCCCAAATGTCGGTTTCCAGAGAAACGAAGAAATTTATTAATGTAATATATCTTCTTTGTGCACAGACTTTTTCAGATATGCACGTGTGTACTGGTAACTATGGCCCTGATTTCGGTCACCGAGCTGAAAAAAAAGGGACGTTTTCCAGCAAATTCAACTCGGGTTCAAAGGCCGATCGCTGCTGGCGAGGAGCTGAAACCAGTTTGATCCATCGAAGGCCGAGAAAAAAAGTTCATTCTGACTTTGCCTCAATGGAACAGGAATTCCAAAGTAGATTTCAGGGGGGGAAAAAGCAAGGTTTTCACGGTAAAAACCCGAACTGAAAAACTTTCGACAAACATAACTTGGGACCCAAACAAACTCGTCTGAGAGGTGGGATGCACTGACAAATGTTTTAATTAATTTTTCGCTCTTATTTTGAAGCATCTGGTCGAAATTGTTTCTGTACTGTCTGTAAATACAACTGCAGTCGAAATGTATCGCCAAACGCATTTATAGACCTCCAAATCGGCCGCAAAAACCAGTTAAAACAACGGACCAACTTTTCGCTCTTTTTTTAATGACGACATCGCGGACAGTAACAGATATATAGAAATATTTGTTGGCCAGCCGAGTTTGTCAGCCGCTATGATCCACGCTCGATCCACTAGCTGAGCGCGCGGATCGTCTTTTTCGTTGTAAATGTTCCTTAAGATTTGATTGTCACATTTCAGAAATTCATTACTTGTTTTAATTGAGGGAATTACAGTATCTTATACCAAACGCAATTAGCGAAGAATCGTGTTTTTGTTTACCCTGACCTTTGATAACTTATTAGTCCATTTTTTTTAGTTATACTTAAAGAAAATTTAAAACTCAACCTCATCTAGCGTTCTTTTTATGTGACCCTCTATTAAACAGCCGCTTGTTTCTTCCTTTTCAGAGATTTCCATCATTTAAGTTCAGTGACGTTATTTTCATATCTTGATCACAGAATGATAAGCGTAAAAATCTCCTCTTATTTCCAAGGAGCACTAGACTATTATTAATTTAGTGTATTCTTGGTGTATTTTTGTACAGCAGAACCTCGAGTGTTGTACGTGCTGGTTTTTAATCGCTTGAAAGTTTTACTGCCCATTTTGTTTTCAGTTTTATTATTCTTCTACAACGGAGTGACACTTGCGAAAGCATCTTACATATGAATATTTAGCAAGAGGTTGTAGAAGAAATTAATTCATTTGGCCAAAAATGTCAATTAGGTTTATATCCTGATTAAGCCCTTGTTTAAACTCAGATGATCGAGATATTGGGCGGTGACGGCAAACCTTTAATTTCACCTTCTCTCCTTCATTCCCTTTGCCTGTAAGAAATGATGGTGGTTAAAAAAAAAACTGGCGACATGTTATTTTTTGCTTCTACCTAAAAATGGTATGAAATAGAAATGATCTGTAAACAAAAGGTCGTCTGATGTCAAATGAAACTGAAGCATTTTAATTTCAAAAGGCTTGTCAGCGGAGTAGACCGTTTGTTATGCTCGCCTCGAAATGTCATAGGACGAATTTTCCGTTTCAACAGCTGTCTTCTTTTTAAATTCTGGTCAACAGATAATGACGTTCATCACGTTATGGTATGACTTTAGTCCTTTCAAGGACGCTAATGCCGTTAATTGATAAGGATTATTGCATTAGATATGTCAGAAAAAGGGGACGTTATCTCCAGCTGATTATACTTGGAAAATTATGACTTTGCAGTTCAGGCCATTCCTCCCATGCTCGGTATAGCCTGCGTCTTTCTCTTTCCATCACAAGCAAAATGTGGAAAAACGTATAGAGCATTGCATACAGGCTAGGAAAATCAGAGCTGCATTAAAGAATATATGAAATTACTCCTACAGAGACCAAGGGACAGAACTAATAAGCGACCGTAAGCGTGACTGTAAGAACGCCGATAAATATTGATTTTTCTCAGGTAAAACGCTTGCACCAACGTTTTTTTCAATTAAGTCGTCAGTTCAAAAAAATAAAATCAAGTAGTCGAACTCGGTAAGTCTGACCGTCTAAGCATCTTCTCAACTGAGGGACATTCGACCCCAGGCAACCAAGTATGAAGAGCAGCTGAAAAGGACTAGAAATACGTAACGACAGAAAAGTGTTTTCAAAGGTAAAAGGATCCACTACATCCATTCTCACAACCCCCAAATAACAAATAACACAACATGGACCGTGGTTTAATTTTATACCAAGACCGCAGCCCCAGTTAGCTATCCCTAGAAACGTCCCTAATAATCACACAAAAGCTGAATAAAAAAAAATCGAAGGTAGCTGGCTCAAAAATTGCTACCTTCAAGTTTATTTTAGCCTGAGTAACAGGCACTTGAGCGTAGTGGGCGCAATAAAGAACGGGCGCATGAGAGGGAGACGCACCCGTTATTTCTTACGCCGAATACTTCCAAGCGCCTGCTACGCAGGCATTGGGTTGCATTGGGTTTAATTTGCCTTAAAGAGGGACATGACCTTCAACGTTTCCAAGAACAAAGACGGTTTTGCATAGTGATAACAGTATTTCTTTTAGTCGAAAGATTCATCAAATGAAATCCGTGGAGAATATTTGTCTCATCGTGGCATTCGTGATTATGGCTATTATGGACCTTGTTGGAAACACACTGGTGATTCTAGTGATTCGTTTAAACAAGTCCATGAGAACACCTATGAATACGCTTTTGCTTAACTTAGCCGTTGCTGATATGGTGGTAGCAGTGATTGTCACAATACAGTTCGTCATTGGGCCAACATTCGAACACCCATCTGGAACAACAGGCTTGTTGCTTTGCAAGCTTATTACAGGAGGACCGATGTCTTGGTCAGCAGCTGCAGTATCTGTGTTTACCCTGGTTGTAATTTCCATCGAAAGGTGAATTTTGTTTGTTTTCCAACTAAATATGAGTTGGCAAAATAGATACAGTGCTACAAAAACGTGGCGAAATCTTTTAGACGCGCTAAAGATTTACACCTTTATCAATCTTAATCCAACTGTAATGCCTCTATACTATATATTTGGCAACGGTTACTAACGTACCAAGAAAAAGGACTTGAACATGTATTAAAACAGGAACAAACATAATTTAGCTAAATTAAGTTTTTAGGCTTGTAGTAATGATTAATTCAGGTCATTTCCACATTAGACCACATACGTTTTAATTGCCCCACTGAAAAACTTCATATTTCCAGATTTAAGTTTACATCATAAAAGCATGTTCCTCTTTTGAAATGATATCAGAATCTATTATTTAATTTGCAGGAAGGGTCACACAAGCTTATAGGCAGTGAGGTTGCTCCAATCTAAAGCGAGCGAGTATTTGAGTCACTAAAGCAAAACAAAACCGCTTCAGGATTAAACTTCCGTTCCTTGATAAAACTGTTTCAATTCTACCAGTCCAATTTTTCTCCTCCTAGATAAAAATATCGATGACTTCACTTCATTATTGCATCATTATGCTATTTCAATTTATCAATAGCTCAACTGGCTTATAAAAGTCAATAACCATAACTTGCAGAACAACAAACTTAAATACTCAAATTACTGTGATAAAATTACGATCGTGCAATGGGCCTTTGTCACACGGCGGCCATTTTGTCCCGAGAGACTAAAGTAGCTTTCTTTTACCTGTCTAGCCAAGCTCCCAAGTTTTTCACTGCGAGGTCGAGGGTGGTAAAACAAAGCTTTTTCAGTCTCTCGGGACAATATAGCCGCCGTGCGAATAAGGCATTGGCCATTTGCACTATGGCGTCAATTTACTACTACGACCAGAATCCTTTTCCATTTTCCTTTCATGTTTAAATTTAAGAAAAGCCCTAATTTGCACAAGAAAGTTAAAAACTGTAGGATTCTGTTCGTACTAGTCGAATGGCGTCATCATGTAAATGGCCTGTGCAATTGTCTAATTTTCACTCAGTGCCCGGATTTATCTAGTTATTTATTTGTTTTTCAAATGAACAAGACATAATTTGTTCCACTTTCACACAGATTATACTTCTCCGTTCTTTTTCTTTTATTCTTTTGTTTAAGATATCACGCAGCAGTAAAGCCGCTGGCTAGCCGTTCAACACTCACGAAAACCAAGCTGAAGCTCATTATCTTTGGTTGCTGGTTCTTTGGTTTCTTTTGGAATATTCCTAATTTTGCTGTCAAGACTTATAGGGCGGATCTAGAGACCTGCGGTGAGCAGTGGCCCTGTCAGATCTTTCCAATAGTTTACAGTTTTGGGTGGAGTGTAGTGGCTTGAATCGCACCCATCAGTTTAATGAGCTATCTTTACTCAAGAGTGGTTTACAAACTGTGGTGTGAGGTGACGCCAACTGTACCATCTACATCACTGGTATGCACTACTGAACAACAAACTGTTCTGACAAATAAGCCAATTCAGCCACTATAGAAAACATTGCCCAGTGAAGACCTACAGTAATAGATCAAAACATCGCCTTTACTGAAATAAGACCATAATGAGACAAACGAAAACCTTTCATACCAAAACAAAATCTGAAAATGATTTACGCTGGTGTTACCAAAAGCTTGTTTGCTTTAGCTGGTTCTATCCCTATCCATTTCGATCTCTTCATCCCGTATAAAGACATGCAGCCGCAACAAAACGTTGCCAATCAAACCTGTCCTGTCAGTGTTAGCCACCGTTTTGCCCAGTGTTAGATCGAACTCCACCGGCTCTTTCATCACTGTTCTCTGCCAAGTGGTTTTTCACCATCCTATTTTCCTCTTTCCAGTTGGAGTCCATCTCAAAGCACCTTTGGGTACCTTGTCACTGGGCATCTTTATGACAAGACCAAGCCATCGCAGCCTACGACTGTGATTCTTGATTCTTGATCTGTCTTCTTACGCATTTTCTCATTAGTAATCTTATTGGTCCTTTGGATATTACAGAGGCAGTAGTTATGAGAGATATCGACCTTTTTCATATCTCCTTTCCTTTCTCTCCAGCGCTCAGAGCGATACTAAAAGACAAACTTGAGATTCCTGTTGTAAAGCCTGATCTTAGTTTTGGGGCTGTTTTGCTTAGACGCCCGGATGTTGCACCTCTGGCTTTGTTAGGCGGGACCAACAGCCATAATGAGGCCATGATTATGGTTTTTGGCGGGACTTCGTATCTTTATGGGCACCCTTTTTAGCTCTTTTTCCTACTAATAAGGCTTCCAAGATAGGTAAAAGTTTCAATGCACTCCAGTTCCTCCCCACTGATGGTGATTGGGAGTGATGTAGAGGCATGTGCGTACATCAACCTAGGTCTTTCTAAGGTTGATAAACAGACCTTGAAAAATTCCTTAGTTTGTCACATCTTTTCTATAGATGGCTAAGAGCGGCCGAAATGACTGCCAGATCATCGGCAAAGTCATGGTCTTCCAAATGTGAGCACAAGGTCCACTGGAATCCAAGGAGACCGTCTGAGGTTGCTTCAAGCATCAGCCAGTTGATGGCTACTTGAAAAATAAAACCCTGTCTTTCTCCAGACTTGACGGTGAATGACTCTGTCGGAGCATTCTCCAAGATGACACTACATTCATAGTGTTCATAATTTCCCTATGATGCAAACAATGTTAGGTGGTCATCCGCATTCCCTCAGGATCCTTCAAAGACTCTCTCATTGAACACGTACTGTCGAAATCTTTCTCAAAATCAATGAAGCTGATTAAAAGGAAACATTCTACTCAGTGCATTGTTCAACAATGTTCCGGATAGCAAAAACTCGATCTATGCAGCCTCGGCCTTTGCGAAATCTGCCCTATTACTGCCTCAACTCTGGATCTATGGCACTGTCAATCATTTTGAGAAGTACTCTACAGAAGACCTTGCTGGGGATGGACGTAGATGTCATACCCTGTCAGTTGCCACAATTACTGAGATCCTCCCTCTTTGGGATCTTAAATATAAGGCCAATGAACCAGTCTTTAAAAAAGACTTCACGATTCCAGATCTTAGCAAAGAGCTCGGTCAGCACTAAGGACGCAGTGATGGTATCTTCTTTTAGTTATTCTGCTTGAAGCGAATCAATTTCTGAAGCAATTCAACTTGGGCCAGAGAGGGTGAGTCAGTGTTAATGTTGAGATCGTTTTAAGGGTCATCAGGCTCTGACAGGTTACGCACTTCTTTGGAATGCTGAATCACTCTTTCAGCCTTTTCCCCTTTCAGATGTTATCACTTTCCCTTCCTTATCTTTAACTGGCTTGGTGCAGGTGTTACTTTGTCCACTTAACTGAGTAGTGATCTCGTACACAGTGTTGAGGCCTCCCTTAGCTGCAGCCTTCCTTGCTTCACTAGCTAGCTCCTCCACACCCCTGGAATGTGCCTTATCTTTCCCTGAGAAAAAGGATAGTCGAGCCATCGCGTGTCACTCTATACCTCCAGACCAAGTCCATCGCGAACATGGTGTGCACATTCCATGCTCCAATGCAGATGGTAGTTCGGGTTCCCGAAAAGCTCTGATTCAAATTCCGGACTTCCTGAGTTGGGCTTTTATTCAGAATTGTCATGGAGCCACTTTTTTCGTTAGAGTTTGCTAGCTAGTTTCCTGGACCCAGCGTTTCTGTGGATAGTGTTGTTGCAGTTTTGGTAACAAGTTGTTGTTTTGTTGGGTGGGTTATCTAGGCCCATACACAACCCCCAACATGTTAGGACCAGGCGCTGCTTTTAGTTTGTCCTTTCAGGTCTTGTGTAACCAGCCCGTCTTGGTTGGACCTGCCTGGAGCTTAGGCCTCGCCTGTAATACAGCATTGCCATTACGGCAGGCAAGCTCCCCCAGCACGAGAAGGTAACAGCGCGCCGGATATTAAAGAAACTGCCAAATTTATCATAATTCTAACAGTAGGAACTGTCACAAAATTCAGTTGAACATTAAAAAAAGGCCGTTCAGAACTTAACATGAAAAAAAGGTATAAATAAAAAGGCAAATACAAAAGAAGGCACAAATGACCAAACTTGAGGGAGATTAAAAAGGATTCTAGTTCAATTAAGAGTTTTGAAAACCTGTCAGCCTAAAAAGTTTTTTTAAGTTCATGTTTGTTCTTTTTAACGTTTGATATACGGCTGGGGAAGCATATTCGTTTGACCGAAGGCTGGGATTTTTTCGTCCTTTACCAGTTATTTCTATTTAACAAATACGAAAACGTAATGATGTTAATAAACTGAGCTACAAAGCCGTGAAAAAAGCCTCTTCAAATGTCGGATCATGAACTGATTGTAACCAAGGCTATCTGTTTGGTGCTGCTCACCAACGGATGTCAGCGATGCTTTAAGAATTAGCTCCTTCTCACCCTGAGGGAATATAGCACAAACATGGTCATAAATCAGATGTGAATGCTGTCGGGTTGTTCTTAATGTCGACTGGATGCGTGACATTAGACACTGATCCAAATCCCTCTTTTGCAGAGAAAAGCCACATTAATAAAAAAGAAAGCTACTATGGCGGTGATAACGGTTAGTATAATCTACACCATTTGTTGGGTGCCAGTCTGTGTGATGTACTGCTTGATACAATTGCCACCAAACTTGATGAGACTTAGCTACCAACACAAAGTCACCATACTTCTGGCCATGTTCAACGCCAGTGTTAATCCAGTGGTTTATAGCTTCACCAGTGCACAGTTTAGACAACATGTCATAAACCTGTTTCGATGTAAATGCTGTCGCGTTGTTCCCAAAGTCGACTGGACGCGTGACATTAGACACTGGAGCCCCAGTTCCCCAGGTCAACCTCAGGGAATACCAACAACGTACCAAGAGACGGTCAGAATATTTACTTTATAGCACTTGTGGTGAAAACAAAGAGGAAAATAAGTGATTTCTTGGTTATAAGAAAGGAAAACTACTCCTGCCGATTATCGGAAAATGACGGTGTCCAACAACGAAGCCCTTACTACTTTGGACACTGTACACAAATGAACTTAATGTCTTTCAGCTTAAAGATTATTTATCAGCTACTTTGTTCTCCTACTTACGTACACTTGTGTAAATGCCTCATATAGTGTGAAATAAAGAAAGATTGATTGAAACAATACCGCTCCGTGTCAGAGAAAACGAATTAAAGAAACTACAAATTTTGTAAGCGTAACTTACATCCAATCCGCGAAAATAATTTTCCCCGAATTCCCACCAGTGAACCTGCTCACAGTTTACATACAACCACTCCAGAGTGATATCTGTGCATTTCCAAAAAGAATTAGTCGAGAGAATTTCATAAAATTTCATAGTATTTTGCCTTTGTTGATCATTTCAGTGATTTTCGTAACCTTTTCTCTTGATAGGACTTAAAAGATTAAAAAACTCAGCCTACTCTCTTCCAATCACCACCCAGCCCTCACCCCTCCCCACTTGAAAAAATGTTCTGCCATCCCTGTAAGTACATACTAGAGGAACCATACAAGATATCTACATAACAGCATAATCCAAGATTGTTTCTAGAGACAGAATTTGTGCCATTTTTGTGACACAAACTAGGATGTTGGAATGCTTGCTTTTGCTACAAATTCGTAGCTATTCGCTTTAAATATTCATTAGGTGTTCCCAGGGCAGGGATGTCACTAACATTTTAAGTTGCTGGGTAAATACAACAATTAGGAGGGGAATAAAACAGCTTGGGATATCTTTGGGAGTTATGTTTCTTCTATTTTCGACCTATGCAATTAGCTGGGGGCCACATTCATAGAAGCCGGAGGAAATACTATGCCCCGACCTATTAATGACAGCCCTATGTTCCAGTAAGGTATTAATAATGATGACAGTGACGAATTCTAGATCTCACTTTGCTAACAAACTTTCGGGATTCCACTGCCCCTGTAGGAAAATTAGATGCATTGAATGGTAGTATTAGGTGCAATTTGATGCCCATAAAGGGAACAGACCCATGTGTCCACATTAAAGAGGTGCCCATCACAGTTTAAACGAGTCGTCCATGCAGGTCAATCCAAATCTTCACTGCCCTATAGGCGAAAGATCGTTGCCCCGAAGCTGTTTTGAAAAGTGGGATTTCGGGGCTGCTACAGTTGCGCGTCAACCTGTCGTGAATATTTGCTCTCTGTAATAAGTTGGAGCAAAGGTAACCAGGTGCAAGATTATAATAGCATTTGAAAGGCATAACAGCGTCTCTAAGGTATAACTGCTGTTCAACAGGGAGCCAGTTAAGCTGACATAGAAGCAGGTTTACATGGTCAAATTTTCTCGATCCAATAATTATCTTTGAAACAAAGTTCTAAATTGACTGAAATTTCTTTAAATTAGAGGTGGATGTATTCTACCAGACTGTGGAACAATAAAACATCTTACTGAACACTAGTGTTGTGATCATTATTGAAAGTGTTTCCTTATTGACAATGTTTTTAACTCAATTGATTTGAACTAACTTAGCTAAGCAAGATGAGACAAACTGAGAGATATGATTATCATAAGTGAGATGTGAGTCTAATATCACGCCCAGGTCCTTAGCTGAGGTTAAGGGAGTCAAGGTCTTACCAAGGAATAACACCATTAGGCTAGTAAGCTGTCAGCCCATGAGTTGCTTAGTTCCAAGAAGCATAAACTTCGTTTTGTCTGGGTTGATTAACAGGTGGTTTTCACAACACCAAGTGGTTAACGCGATGTTAGTGCTTCCCAGTCGAAATGATAGAAATAGCTTAGAGTTGTCAACGTACGACTCCAGACAACATTATTGTGGCGCATTAGTTAGGTCATTCAAGTAATGCAGAAGAGTAAAGGTGATAAAATGGCACCCTGTGATACCCCATGGGTGATTGGTAGCGCATACTGCTGTATGAGGTATGTACAGTATACAGCTGTTTGAAGAAAGGTTGTCAGAAGAAATGCACATGCAACAATCCCAAAAGGTAATATGGGATATGATCAATACACTGTTTGTAACGACTGAAGCTGTTAAACCTACGTTTGCTGCTTTCCTTTAGTACTAGCAAACAGGTGTGAGTGGCCTCGCGTACCATTCTTTCAAATTTCTTTGAAGAACAGAGCCCTCAAAGTCACCCACAATACCTTTCGGGATTGTCGCGTGTACTTTTTCCGACAACCTTTCTCAAAATAGCTGTAGATCCAATACGAACTGCTTGAGAGTAGCCTGACAAATAGCTCTTGAACCACTTTAATGTAGCAGATGATGCGCCCATAGCGGAGATCTTGTAAAGCAATCGATCATGAACAATTTCTGTCAAAAGCTTTTGAAAATCGAGCAGAATCAAAGCAGTGATTTTTTTTCTGGTCTACGTCCTTCAGTATATGGGCAAATGCTACAAGTATTAATCCACTAATAAAAATAAAATGAGTTACAGTATAATTTTTGAGAAACAAGCTTATTAAGTAGTGGTGTGCCAAACATTCACTATAATGATCATTGATCGAAATCTTCACACAAAGTGATGATTGTGGGGAAGGTTCAATCAATTATCAAGGGAAAAAAATATTTGTTGGCGAATTAAAGCAGGCAGTGAAAAAACTTTGAGCTACTACTCCACAATCAAAATGTTATGTTCTTTGAATTGTGCAAAGGTAAAAAAATAAATGGAATGCACAGAGATTTTTCTGATTATAATCGATGATCAATCAGGTGGGTCAATCCAATTATCTTTGAAGATCGATTATGAAATCTCAACTAATTCCCAACACTACTATTAAGATTGCTTTGCAATACACAAATAACATGTCATTATGTAGCATAAGTGTTAAGCAGTGTATGAAGTAAACTCATCATTCAACTTTTGATTTCTTTTCTTTTGGTTCATAATTGTCACCTTCGTCATTGTCATCAACATTTTGCTCCTTGCTGTGGCCAGTACAATCCTCACTAATGTCTCCTTCTTCTTTATCAGAGAGCAGCTCAGCCGGCTCCTTCAGTAGTTTTCCTGAAATAGCTGATCTTTCTGTACCTTTTCTAGCATCAGCATGGAATAAAACATCCCTACAGTTCTTTGTGATGGCTGCTTTTGATTGTTCCTCCTTCAAATTAAACAATAACCCGAGATTAATGATATCATAAGGCCCGCGAAAGTCAAGCTCGTTTACTGCCCCACTTGAAATAATAATGTTCTTTCCTTTTGCAAAAACAACCAAGTCCAAAGCCGTAGAAATTAGATTTTTTCTCTGGGACGAGTCTCTTATTGCAGACGAATAAACAATCTCAAAATGTATTCCTCGCTCATTTGCTGCATTTACTGTAGGGAATTTCAAGTAGAATGGAAGGCGTTCTGTCATGTCGAGTGAAATTATATCAACATCTAGCGTTTTACAAGCTTGCTGGAAAGCTTCTCTGTAGCCGGTTGAACTGCTAAGATATCATGGGATTGAACGGGATCACTGGACAGTTGATGCACCTGGCTTTGGTCGTCTAGCTGTACAGTTAACCGTGTATAAACTTTCAATCGTGGGTTGATTTTCTTCATATCTTTTATCGCTGGGTAATTACCCAAGTTGACTGGGGTCAGTTTAGCGGCGCCCTTTCTTTCTTTTTTCACTGTTTCAAGGTGAAAGGTTCGTCAAGAGCCATTATGGCTCTTGTCTTAGCGGATTAGTCCATTGTTGTGCCATTGACTTTCAACCATGATCTTTTCACCAGAGGAGCCGTAATATTTTCATCAATACTGCTTTTGTTAAAGAATTGCTTCATACATGCGAGGCTATGTTTTCGGCATAAAACGGGTAAATTGGTAGAAAAATACCTCCAGTTTCTGAAGCGTAAATATTGTCTATTTTATTTCCCGTTAAACCGTACGAAAGGAACGTTTTATTATCCCTGTGATCAGAGGGCCACAAGTTTATCCGGATCCTATTTTACCCTCTCTAAATAAGCGGTCTACACGCCTGCCCCCGCTCTCTTTTTTTCTATCGACAGCACTGAATCCTAAGCCATACTTGAGTTCAAATGAGAAAAAACTTACCAAAAAGTAAACTTTGATGTGAAATTACATAAGTGCTTTCTCTTCTTTTTGCCTTCTTTTTAAACTTGAAGGTATCACGTTTCTCTTTATTTGCACACCCTGCTAGCCGAGGTTTCTTTCCGGCATGGTCAGTTAATTTTATTTATGCGAAGTCTTTTGCCTCATTGATATTCAGGTAGTTCCGCTTGCTCGGCGCAGCGACGCGAACGATTCTGCACACGCTAAAAGTGTAGGTAACCCTCATGAGTGTTGTCGTAAAGGGTTTTACAGTCAAGCCAAGTCAAGCGTACCCCCCAAAATTCCATTAATGAATTTATTATTTGAAAGTTGAGACCGTTGGCAGTTGTAGATTTCAGATTCATCTCTACATTCTTGCATGCGTAATGAGCCGTGAATTCACACGCGATTCAGTTACAAAATTTCCACCAGCTCAGTTTCCCTCAATTTGGCTGTGTATAAAAGTGGGACGGGGACAAGGGGACAAGGACATCGGGACGCGTGTGTGGGGACTTGGGACGTGGGGACGCGAGACGAGGGACTTGAGGACATCAACTATGGGACTCGGGGACGTGAGGGACGGGGACGCGGGGACGTCAAATACAGGGACGCAGGGGAGGCGGGATGTGAATGATTATTGCAAAAGTCGCAGGTAAATGCGATATCAGTCACTTTCCTCGTGAATATGTTTTGGTGAAAGGAAACCCACCCTGCCCTCCTTAGGGTTCCTCCATGCCTTTTTACGAAGAGAAGACTCGGCGAAGACCCCCTGCATTAAAGAAAGTGAAACCGTTGTCCTAGTCTTCTTGCTGATGGAATATTGGAGCCAGTAGGGTAGGTTGGGTTGCGGTCGCCAAAAATTATGTAGAATAACAGCATTCGATTCCAAATAAATAAAAATTAAGTGGCATTAGCGAGCTTCGAATCCCGAAGTTCTAACTCCGAAATCCATCGCCTGTACCACTAAACCACGAGGGATTCAACTATTGCAGCAATATTTATTTTGTTCTACATTTTTAGTGGCAAACCTAACAGTAAATGCTTGCTAACAGTACTTAAAGGTTGATTTCCACCGACGCGTTTTTGGCTATGCACGTTAACGCAAGTAAATTTTAATCACGTAAATAAGATAGGCAAGATATAAATTGTCGAGATTAAACGTGAAGTTGAGCGAGATTCTACTTTTACGCTTACGTGCGGCCTTTCAGACATTGCCTCTATTTTATGTGCGAACGTAAATTTTACGCACGTAGGCATGAAAAAATTACGCGACAGTGGAAATCAACCCTAAACCTGATCACGATAGTCAGTGGGCTTTTAATACTTCGATTATAAAGAAATATTTTGTGTACACATCATAAGGTGTCCAATGTGGTTTTGGAAGATGGAATCTAATGTTGACCATAAATAACACATTTCCACGAAGAAAGAGATATCGCATTTACCTCCGACTTTTGCAATAATCATTAACATCCCGGGTTCCCTGCGTCCTAGTTTTTGACGTCCGTCCCCGCGTCCCCGCGTCCCATACTTGACGTCCCCAAGTCCCTCGTCTCGCGTCCCCAAGTCCCAAGTCCCCACACACGCGTCCCAATGTCCCCGTCCCCTTGTCCCCGTCCCACTTTTATACACAGCCCCTGAATTTGATGTAAATGTCTTCTAAGAATTTTAATTCATTCAAAGATTTTCAATCTGACCAAATACAGGCAAGTTCTCGTAAATTATTCACTGCTCCTTACGCATGCAGTAATTCCGATTTGAATTTGACACCAGTTACGGGAACGACTAACAGATTCATTTTTCAAATAATCAATTCATTAATAGAATCATGGCGGGTACGCTTGACCTGTTTTGACTGTAATCAGTTAAATCCAATTACTATATATCACAAATGCAACACAAAAAAATAATAATAATAAAGGATAAGCCCGCCAGGAGGGTAGTGAGTACTCAAGATTAGTACTCAGGTATGAAAAAAGTTGAATTTTTATGTTACATAATAAATTCTAGTCGTCCAGTTTTGAATGTGCGTTGTATGTAAAGTAGTACGTTGCTGTTTTTCAAAGAGGCAACACGAAGCAGAAATGATTGTGGGAGTGAAGTTGTAAACAAAAACAGAATACAACAGGTCCTTAACGCAATTAAAATGTAAACTGACCTAATGATCATATACTTGCCAACTTTTTCTGAGATATAAGCGTGAGATTTTTATCCTGGGAGTGCTGGGATTTTTGAAGACGACACGATCATTTCCGAAGATTCCCGAAGAAGTCCGAAGTCTTCCGAAGAAGTCCGAAGTCTTCCGAAGACGTCCGAAGTCTTCTGAAGACGTCCGAAGTCTGCCGAAGGCGAGCTCGCTCCCAGTGCTTTTCACTTCAAAAATCAGAGATCGCGAGGAAGGTATTGTCATTTATTCATTTTACACATGGTTTTCATTCCTTACATGGGTCTGAGTAACCATATTTTTGGAAATTGTGTCAAGCAAGACGGCAACAACTCACATTTTTCAATCAGGCGTGAGAAAATTGGCCCGCAGGCGTGAGCCGGCGTGAGATCGAAGTTTTCAACCCGCAGGCGTGAGAGTTGGCAGGTATATGATCATTGTATCTCTTCGTTTGAAATACAGGTGTATTGTCTGGGGTGTTGGAGAAAAGAGATTAAGTTATGTCAAACTGGCCATGAAAGAAAAATCAAGTTACGAGTGGGATGTTCAAGGTATACCGCTCGAAAGCATTATATAACTAATTTATCCCATTACTCAACACTGATGACGACGTATTTCAGAAATAAGAAACCTTGACATAACAGAACTGAATGCCTGAAGGCTAACCGTGCACCATCAACCAGATCCTTTCAAAGTGTTGACCGTATGCATCCAGCTGCAGTGCCACGGCCGGCTATGTGTACAACCTGCGATCTGGCAATCCTAAAAGAAGGCCTCTAATGGTAGGTTAAGGCTATCTGCGACTCTATGTGCCAAAAATCTATATTTAATGCGGATTTTAAAAGTTTTTAAAACATATGTAATATTCAGTTACTGCAATTCTTTTTAAGAACTCTGTTGTCATTTCGCAAAGAGCTTAGTAATGTAACACTGTCACGTCAGTTGGGTGGTATTTATAAATACAGCGGAACCCCACCTTACTGCCCCCTAGGTAAGTACGATCAGCTCGTTATTACGGCCACTTTGTTTTGGCCACCTGGCAAAAACTACCATGCATTTTCCTGTAAAAAAAACCCTTGTTAATACGGCCACCCCGTTAATACGGCCAAAATGGTGAGTTATATAATTCACCATTTTATTTTTGTATTCTTTCTTTATTTCAGTCCTATCACTCTTCGTGCCCTAGGATCAGTTTACTGCTCTAATTTTAAAATTTGCGAACGATTACCTACGGTCTTGACCGCCAAAGATTCATAAATTAAACATACTTTGTACTGTCAACAGATCCCGCCCATATCTCCTCGCAGTTACAGTGCCCTCGCCCTCCTTGGCTTGTTTGCGCGCCCGACCAAAACCGCCATGCTACGCACGCATGCTACTCACCATTTTCTGAGAAAAAAAAAATGGGTTGGGTCTGGGGTTGGGATGGAGTGGTGTTTCACATAAACCCAGTTATCACCCTGGGTACCGGCGGTTTTTTCCTCGCGTGCGGCGGGAATTTTTGGTGGCGGCCGAACTCCGAAGATCTCCACGTGGGTCGCTGTACGATATTAAGACTTGACAGAACCGGAAAGCGCCCATGAAGTCTCTTACACTCACCCAGGGTTACTAGTTCTCAGTTGAAGGCGCCCAGTTCCTTACCATGGCAAAGATTAAAATTAAATAAATAATTTATTATCATGAAAACAGTGACCCGCCAACTAAAATACAAAATCCTGAAAGTGTACCGCACAGTGTATCGGGGGGGGGGGGATATCCCACGGGGAAATTCTTTTATCAGGACACTTGACTGCAGGCGCAAACTTCAAAGGGGAGGGGGTGGGAGGAAAAGCCACTCTCGATCTCCACTCTCCCTTTTCCCCTTCTTTTCCCTTTTCTTGTTGTGTCGCCTGCCATACATGTCGTGCATGCCCATTTATTCTTAGCACCAGCATGCTACGCAGGATGAGAGAACAGCCTAGCTGTTCAAAGTACAACTTACCCGACTTTACACGTCATGGCCGTTGTCATCAGGTAAGATGAAACGTAATACCACGAAGCGGAAACATCAGAACAGACTATTGCGTGTCGTTAAAATCATTGAGTGTATTGTGCTTTCGTTACTTCGACTTACAGAGAATAACATGAGCGGCTTTTTTCGTATCGTATTTTACACCATTCTATCATTTCATCACACGTGGTCAAAAGGTAAGCGGTTCATTTATGTCTTAGTAGCTCATAATTTCGAAATAAAGCTCGTGTTATCATCTTTTTAATCCCTCTTTAATTCATTCAGCGAGAATGAATTGAGAAGTCTACATTTAAATAAAGCTTCAAAGATAGAATGCACATTGCTGTGGGATCTGATTTAAGTAGGGAAACAAGGGATGTCAAGGATAAGTGTTAAGCGAGTTTCTCTTCGTTGAATTTTCCTATCGGTGGTTTGCGTCGTCGACATTTATCGAAGTCGTTCAATTATCAACGCATAGTATATTTTCAAGAAGCTTGAAGATTAGAGTTACACGATTCCCATCATGGTTTAATTAAAATTTTTTGTGAAAATGAATTTGTCTTGGACTTCCTCCAGAGCAGTCGCTTGCATGCGGTGAACGTGCTAAAATGTCAGGCTGTCTGGCGCGCATATGCTGAAGTACGTCAATAGATTTAATATACTCTAGGAATTACGAAATTACGAAGGGCCTTTGATAGGTCTACTTAGAGATTGGGACCCAATGTGTTGTGACAAATGTTGATGGTGACACGTGCCCGGACCTTTGGAACAAATAAAATGAAACAGAATAAAATTCGGAATAAGATCAAATAAAATTCATTGGGAATGAATGCGTGACGAACGAACCCCAAAGGACGTCTGCGGGGTGGCTATTAACTGCGCTGCCTTACCCTCATGTAATGAGTTTCGGTTTTCCACAAGAGTGGGAAATAAAAATTGAACCTCGCACCCGGTGAAGGGGATTAATTGATGAAAAGGAAAAGTAACTGAGACCAATCTTTGTTAAAGGAGCTGTTAACTTATAGGGACAAAATCTTAGAACTACAACAATCTAGTAAGGCAAATCGTTCAAGAGTCACATGTTTGCGGTTTTCAATCTGTTATATGCTAGCTGAGAGAGATGAAAGATTCAGGCGCTAAGAAGTTCGAGGTGTCACCATGTTGAGGGTGGCCTTCGGTAGATTCTAGAAAAATCAATTCATCATTATGAGGTGAGAGACAACCGCGGGAAGCAAGATGACTGAGCTTGGCATTTTACCAGCCTCCCACCAACTAACCACGTAAACCAAACGAAAATCTCTTCCGCTTCCTTTTATGAAATTTTCTAATGCTAGGACTTCCTCTTTCCGTGTAAAAAGTTCCAAAGTCATTTAACATTAGGCTTAGCTCATTCATTGCAGTCTTAGTCTAAGTTAATCATTTATAAGAAATTAGGTTTTTTGCATGCTGCAATGGTCATTCCTCTTATTTTGAAAGTTTGATTTGATGTCAGATGATTGCAACCACCCCCTCGGAATGAGTGAATCAGACAAGAGAATCCCGGATGAGAGTATTACGTCATCATCCAAGTTAAGCTCGAATCACGGTCCTTCTAACGCAAGATTGGACGGACCGAGGGCCTGGTGCTCCGCTCTAGATGATAACTCGCCTTACATACAGATTCGTTTTGTTAAGGAAAAGTTGATTACTGCAATAGAAACTCAAGGAAGCGCTCCTGACAACAGTTGGTCTACTAAATATGATGTCCATTACTTGAAGAAAGGGAAATGGACACTATACAAAGAGGTAATATGGCTTAGTACTGCATTTTACTCTCTGCCCCGGGTATATTTCAAGAATTTGCAATTTTCGTAGTTTACAGTTAATTACCCATTCCAAGAACGAAACCTTTCTGTAATTTACCGTAACTAGCAGCTTGAACGAGAAGATAAAAAATTAAAAATATTTCTCATCTCCTGGGCCAAAAGACTAACAAGGACTAGTCACGGGTTTTTGTCCGTTGTAAAGGTAAAATGGAACTTTGAATAAATCAGTAAAATCCTCACTGGTCTGAATATACAACAAACACGTTCAAAAGAAAAAAAACTTTTTTCCCACCATCATTGCCACATGATCTTTGGTGCAATTGTTTAATATAAGTCACTCAAACACTTTGGTTGGCGTACAGATGATAAAAGTGTCGCTGTTTATTATTACCATTATTATTATTGTTATTATTATTATTATTATTATTGTTATTATTATTATTGTTATTATTATCATTTCTTTCGTTTCGCACGAGGATTCACGGTTTTTTTAGCTTGTTGCTAAGTCCTCCATCCAAAACTAATAGCAGAGATTGCAAATCTAGCCTTTTACCAAGACAGGACCCGTGCAAATCGCGATGAAACTCATGCTCTTCTGGTACGACAATAAAAACTAACTTATTAACATCTTGCTTTGTAAAATGTGCTACAATTTTGGGCCGGTTTAATCACTTTTAAAAAGTGTCGGTGTAAAGAGAAAGATATCTGCTTTGTTTACTTCCACTCTGGCATTCAGAACTTGAAATGTGTGGTAATGAATAATAATGATTCAGGTATCAGCTCATACAAGTGATCAGTCAGTCTTATTTGCTCTATTTAGGGGCTTACTGGTAATAGACACCCTAACAGACT